TAATAAACATCATGACTCAGTCAAAAGATACAGTGTCTTTCCCACTGTGAGAACTTTATATAGTTGGGCATGACTAATAAACACATCATGATTCGAGTCAAAAGATACAGTGTCTTTTCCACTGTGAGATAGATAGTTTTTATTTGTGTGATTTTGGAAAACAGAACATAGTTTAGGTTTTGCAAAATCTGTAAAGTCCAAATGAAACTTTGATATTTCTAATTATTAGAAATAAAAATTTTATAAAGAATAAATGCAATTTGAAATTTGAGATACTCAAAACTAATTACGAAATTATGAATTTTTGAAACAGCTGACAGAGACATGATCATGTACATCATTTAAGGAACTTGTATGTTCAGTGTTGTACATGATATGTCTCAAGTATTAGAAACGAAACATTGTACAGAAATAGAGCTATTATACCACAAAGAGCTGTTTCAAACTTCCTATTGTTTGTAAGTTAAGTGGGTCCTTTTTGAAAAGTAAATAAGTATGAAAGTGTTTTAATTTTTCCATATGCCTAATTTACAAAATGTGCCTCATATGTTAAATTCATATATAAAAATGTTTAATGCTAAAATATCTTAATTACAATTAGTAATTAATTTTTAAATTAGATTTTTAATGTGGTTGTTACTTGTGGTCTATGTACAGTGCTCTTCACTTCTTGAACCTTGAGGTTAATGTAAAGGTTAGACATGTAGCTTTTTGTATGAGAATTATCAGTTGGATATGATTTACCACTGTTTAAAAGATTCTCAATACTGTGTATTTGCTTTCTAGTCCTTCATTAGGTGCAAGCATGTAGACTACACGTCAAGCAGGGAGGAACCATTCTATGATATACAGATGAATGTTAAGGGGAAGAAAACAAGTAAGTTTCTGAAATGTAAAAAACAGAAAAATATTTTGCAAACTTTGGATAAAGGGTGAAAAAGAAAACTGCAACAGTCATGTTTCTGAAATGTTGTCTTTGTTCAAAGTGGGTAACAAAGAAAAAAAATGTTTCTCAAATATCCATTTTCCAATTAGTTAACAAAACAGTCATGTTTGTGAAATGTTGTCTTTGTTCAAAGTGGGTAACAAAGAAAAAAAAATGTTTCTCAAATATCCATTTTCCAATTAGTTAACAAAATAATCAAGTGTCTGAAATGTCGGTGATTAAATTAGTAAATAAAAAAGTATC